GTCAGTGGGAAGGAGAAGCAGCAAAGTCAAAACAGTCCAAATTCAGCAACAGGAAGGAGAAACAGGAACACGCTTGATTAGAGAGTACAGGAACCACAATAATCTGGCAAAGGTACAGAGACAGGAAGTGGCTTTTATAGGCCAAGAACCAGACACCTGACCAGACACAGCTGAAGAGAGTTGTCACTGATAACCCTGACTCTACAAGCAATGGTATCAGATATCAGGTAAATTTGCAAAAGGCAGGCTGGTGTACTGGTAAGGAAGAGGTTTAGCACCATGTAAACCAAGGTTCGAAACCCAGCAGAGTCAGTTCCTCACATTACCTCCACCTCTACAGGTGCAGCCTCTGGATGCCCTATTTCCTGGTTTAGCAGGGTACTGTGCATGGAAAGACTGAAGAAGATCAGGAGCGTAAATATTGTCCACTGGTTCCCACGATCTATACTCCTCACCATAGCCTTTCCAATGAACCAAATATTGAAGCTTGTTGCGGAAGATCCTGGAGTCAAGAATTTTTTCCACCTCGTATTCATCTTCACCATCCACGAGGACTGGTGGTGGGGCAGGCAGGGCTCCACCAGGGAAAGTATTTTCATGAAAAGGTTTGAGCAGTGCCACGTGAAACACCGGATGTATTTTCATGGAATCCGGAAGTTGCAGACGGAAGGTGACTGCATTGATCTGAGCGATGATCTCAAAAGGTCCCATGAACTTTTGACCCAATTTACGAGAAGGAATCCTAAGCTTAAGATTCTTTGTTGACAGCCAAACCTTGTCACCAACATGATAAACAGGGGCCTCCTTTCTGTGCCTCTGCAGCTCTTTTGTAACATTCCTGAGCCTCCAAAAGAGTCTCCTTCAACAGTTCTTGGGAATCTCGTAAGGCGGTTAGCCAGTCAGTGACTGCAGGAATGGAAGTAGTAATTGGGAGGCTCACTAGAAAGGTTGGATGTTAACCATAATTGGCAAAAAGAGGGGTCAGAGAAGTGGAGCAGTGTTGGGCATTGCTATAGGCAAACTCCGCCGTGGGTAGAAAATCCAGCCAGTCATCCTGCAGGTAACTAATATAGCACCGCAAATATTGTTCTAACGTCTGGTTGGTTTGCTCAGTCTGTCCATTACTATGTGGATGAAAAGCTGAAGACAGATTTACTTTAATACCTAGAATAGAACAAAAATATATCCAAAAATGAGATGTAAACTGCACTCCCTTGTCAGAAATTACACCCATTGTACCATATGTCCTGGAACTCCGGGACCGCATGGAGAAACTGTCCCTGATGGTAAGGGAGAATAAAGTGTATAAAGTGTTAGCTCAGGTATGTGATACTACCTATCTTATAGCCAGCTGGCAGATGAAAGGATTCAGCGATCCTTTCATGTGAACATGCTGAAGGAGTATCAGGAGAGTTGCGGCAGTATGTGCCCTGGCTGCCGACAACCCCGAGAATTTACCCTTACCCGACTTATTAGAGAAGGATCCCCAGACTGACCTTACTAGTCTTGTGCAGCTAGGGGACCGGTTAAGCCCCGCGGAGAAGGTACAGGCAAGACAGCTCCCAAGAACCCGGGTACACTACCCTAGCTGTGCACAAGTTCGAGACACCCGGACAGAATCCCCTACGACAACCCCACTACCGTATCCCTGAAGCAGTCCGAGAAGGAATGTGGAAGGAGATACAGAGATGACCAGGCTTGGTGTCATCGAGCACTCAGACAGCGCTTGGGCCTCCCCTGTAGTCCTGGTGCCTAAGAAGGATGGGACCACCCGGTTCTGTGTGGACTACAGGCGACTCAACGAGCGGACCACCACTGACGCCTACCCGATGCCCCGGGTAGACGAATTGTTAGACCGCATTTCCAGGGGGCGCTACCTGACTACCATCGACCTGTGTAAAGGTTATTGGCAGATTCCCCTGGCCGAGGATCCCTAAGTCGGCATTCATCACCCCATTTGGCCTGTACCAGTTTAAGGTCATGCCATTTGGGATGAAGAATGCTCCGGCTACCTTCCAGCATATGGTAGATAGGCTCTTCGATGGCTTCCGGGAATTTGCATGTGCATACCTGGATGACATTGCGGTCTACAGTGAGTCCTGGGAAGAACACTTGGTACACGTAGGGGTGGTACTGGACAAGATTCAGGCCGCGGGCCTGACCTTGAAACCAGACAAGTGCCATTTAGGCATGGCAGAAGTGCAGTACTTGGGTCACAGGGTAGGATGTGGGAGCCAGAGACCAGAGCCAGCCAAGGTGGAAGCGGTAGCTAACTGGCCCACACCTATCACCAAGACCCAAGTACTGGCCTTCCTGGGGACGGCAGGGTATTACCAACGTTTTGTCCCCGACTACAGTACTGTCGCCAAGCCCTTGACTGACCTGACTAAGAAGAATTTACCTAAGCAGGTCCTGTGGTCTCCAGCTTGTGAAGCCGCGTTTCAGGCCCTGAAGCAAGCTCTTGTAAATGCCCCTGTCCTGGCTGCCCCAGTCCCTAACAAATGTTTTCTCGTTCATACAGATGCTTCCATGTATGGACTGGGGGCTGTGCTGAGCCAGGTCGGGGAAGATGGAGGAGAACACCCTGTCACATATCTCAGCAGAAAGTTACTACCCCGGGAAGTGAGTTATCCGGCAGTGGAGAAAGAGTGTTTAGCCCTGGTCTGCGCACTGAAGAAGCTGAGCCCTTATTTATACGGACAAGAATTTTCCCTTATCACGGACCACAATCCTCTTGTCTCGCTTAACCGGGTCTCAGGAGAGAATGGCAGACTGCTGAGGTGGAGTTTGGCACTACAGCCTTACAACTTCACCATCAGCTACGACCCGGTAAGCAGAATGCGGATGGGTTGTCATTCACTAAACGGCGGTTTGTACATTTCATGCTGAAGGTACCGTAACAATAATAATAGTAACAAAAGAAAATGTAGAACTACAATTTGTTTTTTTGTTTTTTGTATTCTTTATTTTTAGTTGTGCATAGATAGTACAAAACAAGCTTGCTGTGCCATAACAGCTAAAGCAAGGTATGCATTAAACATAGTGAGACCTTTGTATGGCATTCAATAGCTCTGCACATTTTTTCCAATTTGACAATTTTTTATTTTGTCTTTAACCATAGCAAACAGGGTACAGAAGAGAAAGGGAGTTCATTCACTAACATGGTATACATATCTGTGATCTTACAATGAGTAAAATTTTGGAGGGGGGGGGGTGCATCACTATAAAACAGTCAAGCATCTTATCGACATTTTAGCAGCTGAACACAATTCTCATATAGCTGTGTCTACAGGTCGACCCATCAACACACACCGATGTACATCAATACAACTAAGCCGCGTTCATTGATTGCTTGATATCCTCCACGTAAGAGGATATAGGCCTTTATATGTCCATTAGGCAGGTACAGTGCCCGTGACATTACCAGATCTCCATGTTTGTCAGAGCTCCCAAGTTTTCCGGTAGAGTACAGAGGGAGGGAACAAGGATTTATACGATGTCTCATAAATACATTGTTTGTGTAATTCCTCTATCAGGGTCTCCTTGTTGGGGAGAATCGTGGATTTCCACCTTCTTGCTATCAATTGTTGCGCCATTAAGGCAATGTGTAACATCATTTTCTTTACGTGTTGGGGCAGCACTCTAGGGAGGTCAAGGACTAGGCATGTTAGTGGAGTAAATGCGAGGGGGTGTTGGGTAATATCTTGGATCAGGTCATGGACCTCGGTCCAGTAGTTAAGGAGCTGCGGACAGCTCAACCAAATGTGGTACATCGAGCCTTCCTGTGTATGGCATCTCCAACATTTTGAGGAGGTGGAGGGGAAAATTTTTTGTAGCCTGGTTGGCACTAAGTACCACCGGTACAGTATTTTATGGTGTTGTTCTATGAGGGCTGATGATTTTAATAATTTGAGTAGGTCTGTGAAAATTGTGTCCCAAGATTTAAGTGGCCCTGGACAATTCAGGTCGCTCTCCCATTGTCGAGCATATTTAGTGGTGGAAAAGTGATTATAGTTGGCTATGGAGCCGAGGCACATGGAGATCGGTTTACAGTGCGGTAGTAATTTAGCTGACAAACACATTTGTTCCCATTCGGTAATCCTATTGGTGTCGCTAACGGTGCCTGGGCAGCATGTCACTTCCCTAGACAGGTAAGATTTAAGTTGCAGATATGAGTAGAGCAAGGAGTGTGGAAACGCAAATTTTCCTTTAGACTGGGGAAGTCCAGGAGCTTGTCAGCAGAGTAAAGGTGGTAGAGGTGTGTCACCCCTCTTTGATGCCACGGAGCAGAGTTAAATGTAGGGATAATGTAGGGCATGGCCCTGAAGGGGGTCGCCAGGGAAAGGCCAGGGGTGCTGCCCAATCTGGGTCTGTATTTGTCCCATATCTGGAACAGCAGTAGCATTTGTGTAGGGAGTAGGAGGTGGGTTGGCCTGGCGCGTGGAGGTGTCCAAAGTATGTGCAGAAGTTCATGGTTGCCCAGAAGGTCTCGTTCCAGTGAGACCCACTGTGGACCAGGGTCGGAGACTATGTGAGGGATAGCTGTAGCCAATACTGCAGCGTGGTAGTAAGATTGGATGTTTGGCATTGCTAGGCCCCCCATTCTCTTGGGGGTTTGTAAGAGAGCCGCTGAAACCCTGGCCTTGCCACCCACCCATACGAATCTTCCCATATCAGCTTGTATTGTTTTAAAATATGAGGGAGGGAGGTGAAGGGGGAGTGTGCGGAACAGGTATAACAGTCTTGGGAGTATGGACATTTTCAGAGTCGCTATGCGATCAGACCAGGACAGGTACAGTGGCGACCAACGTTTCAATAGCTGATTACACCTATTGCACACTGTGATATAATTTGCCGCCATAAGGTTCGCTGGGTTTTTGGTAACCATCAGCCCCAAATATTTGAGGGATTCCACCCTCCAATCAAAGTCGTAGGTGTGGGTAAGGGTCCTGAGCACCTGGGCTGGGATACCAACAGGTAGGGCCTGCGTTTTAGCTGCATTTACTGAGTAGTATGATACCCGTCCGTAGTCTTTAAGCAGTTGGAGTAATGTGGGAAGGGAGACTAGAGGATTCTCTATATACAGTAATACGTCATCCGCGAATGCGCTGATCTTAATGTGCTTGTCATCCAGGTGTATTCCCTGGATTATGTCAGTCTGCCTTATACGGTGCAGGAGGGGTTTTAGTGCGAGGACGTATAGCAGTGGAGACAGGGGGCATCCCTGCCTTGTCCCGTTGGTTATTTTAAAGGTGGGGGACAAGACGCCCGCTTGATTTACCTGCGCTAAAGGGTGAGGAGTAAAGCGCAAAAATCTGTCATATCGTCTGTGGGGGAAACCCAAACTTGGCCAGTACCTGCCCTAGGAAGGCCCAGCCGAGGCGGTGAAAAGCTTTCTCTGCGTTCAGCGCTAGGAGAAGACCTCCCCGGCCCGGCCTCACCAGCTCCTGCTGGACAAGGGCCAGCTTCCGAGTATTGTCCAGACCCTGTCTGCCCTTTACAAAACCCGTCTGGTCGTCATAGATCAAGATGGAGTTCAGTCTATTCGCAATAATTTTTGCGTAAATCTTCGCGTCAGTGTTTAGTAGGTCTATAATTCTTGCACTTGTCTGTTGGTTTGTCAGGTTTGGGAATTGTCACTATTGTAGCCAGCAACACCTCCGGGGGCAGTATACCTGAAGTAGCTGTTTGCCGGTATAGTTTCAGGAGCTGCGGCGTCAGTAAGTCACTAAACTCCTGGTAGTATGCATTAGAAAGACCATCTGCCCCTGTGGACTTCCTTGGGGGGTGCTATTTGATAGTGTGGGTGATTTCTGGAACTGTAATAGGTTGTAATAGAGCTGGAAATTGGTCGTCAGACACCTTGGGCAGAGTGATGTCTTCTAGGTAATGTGCTGTGTCTAAGTTTTGAGGGTTCTGTATCGTTGCGTCTGTATGGAGGTTATATAGTTTGGAGTAAAAGGCCGCAAACGCATTGCTTATCGCTTGCGGGTCTATGTGTTTATTCCCGTCGTCGTCTAGAATATGGGGTATCTTGGTCTGGGTCAGTCTTTCCCTGAGCTTGGCCGCTAAATACTTAGTAGCCTTGCCAGTTGTGTGGTACGTAGTGGCCCTCAACTTATATAGGAGGCTATTTGTTTTTTCCGCCTGTATCTTGGCGATCGTCGAATGTGTCTAGTTTATTTTAAGTAAGTATTCTTGTGTGGGATGGGCTTTGTTTTTTGTGTTAAGTTTGGCTAGCTGTGCGTACGCTTTTGTAAGTGTGTTTTGGTTGCGTTTCTTGAGATAAGAGGCCTGTTTAATAAAAAGCCCTCTTACTACCACCTTATGGGCGCACCAAACCATATCTTCGGTGGTCTCCCCTGACCCGTTCGTTTGAAAGTATTCTGTTAGCTTGGTGCGGACTAGATCCCAGAAGGTCTCGTCTACTAGAAGGGATTTGTTAAGCCGCCACTGCCCCCGGCCTCTGAACTGAAATGTATTGTGCAGTTGGAGGTGTACCGGACTGTGGTCCGGCCAGGTGATGTCTCCTATCTGGCAGTCCTGTAGTTGCGCTAAGGTGGCAGTGTCAAGGAAGAAGGTGTTGATTCTGGTGTACGTGTTGTGTACTTTGGAGTGAAATGTGTAGTCAGTCTGTGTAGGGTGAAGGGTGCGCCATGCATCGTATGGGCCATACTGTATAAGCAGTTTAGAGATATCCTTGCATGTGTCAGCCATATGCGTTTTTCTGTGGCCCTCGGGATGGGCTGTAGTGTCTAGCATTGGATGCTGGATAAAATTAAAGTCTCCGCAAAGAATGAGACCCCCTACTCTAGCCTCATCCACGGCCAGGAGGAGGGTTCGTAGGAATTTCGTGGCCTCAGTGTTGGGGAAGTATGTTGCTACAAGTGTGTATGGGGTGTTGTCCCAAAGGCCCACAAGGATAATAAACCTGCCTCTCGTGTCTATGATTTTCTTGTGGAGCGTTAGGGACGTGTCTTTGTGGATGAGGATGGAGACTCCCTTAGTTTTAGATTCAGAGAGTGCGTGGAATTGCGTTGGGTAATGCTTGTTATAAATGGACGTGTGGAGTGTGGTCCTTCTTAAAGTGGGTCTCTTGCACACACGCCACATCTACTCTTTCTTTCTTTCAGTCCCTAAGTAGAAGGCTCCGTTTACCAGGGGTATTGAGCCCCTTAACATTTAGGGTTGTAATTTTCATAAACAGTGAGCTCTGCACATTTTTACAAGTTTTAATTCATTACCTAAAACCCATCTGCATCAATATTAGGTATCAATAACAATTTTATACAAAACATATTTTTTTAACAAGACATATGTTATGGTTACCTCCGGGCTAGCTGGAGGTTGGACTGCTTGGATATCCTGGTTCCCAATGTTGGAGAGGTAGAGCGTCACTCCTATCAGCATCCACAAGATTCTCCTGAAAGTGTAGCATAATCCCACTAGCTATGGCACAGCTAGGATACACTATTCCCTACAAAACAAGTCGAGACTGCGATTTGAGGGTAACACGAACTGGCTTTCATGGCACTCAGGTGGGACAATTTATGCAACTTTCAGACCAAGAGACAGCCCCCTCTGGACCTGATGGTACACAGGACAATGACATAGCTTATCCAATGGAAACACAGTGCAACATTTGAAAATGTCCCCGCCTAGCTTGGAGATAATGGACCTTAACAGTTACAATGACCTAATTATCTCCAAGCACATGAAAATACCACATTTTACACCCATAAGAAAATAACATATAACTTTAATATTTTAATACAAAAATAGTTCATGCGACTATTCGCTGGATAGCTCAGATCTGAGTGCACAAGATGTATGAATCGCGCTCAGATCTCACGAACAATGTGCCAGAGTTCTAATATATAAGTCTGTTCGTACAATCTTGAGCCGAACGGATGGGACAACCGGCCTCTTAGCGGGATTCGTGCAGTTCCATTGCCGATTACAGTTCCGGAGATTTTACTACCAAGTACCGCTGAACCCTTGCTGGCAACAAGATGGCTGCCACCTCGTGTTCAGTATGCGAACGGCGACCACCTGGAGTTAGGTACTTAGCTTGTGGTTAACCGCAGAAACCACCACTTAATTGAGAACACACGCCAGGTATGGGTGGTCATCATTCGACAGTTCTTTCGTATATTTAGTACGGTCCTCGTTCGTCTAATTGTAATATACGAACGAGGCCACCTGGATTCCGATTAATTAGGCTGCGGTTAACCACAAACCACAGCTCATGGGCGGTTAATTGTTGGCACACTCCGCTTTTAATGGTTGTCGATTGTTCGTTAGGTTTTTCGGGGGTTTGAAAGGTGACTGAGGTTAAGTGGAGACACATGACAAGGCTGGGTGGTCTGCTGTTCATATATATGAGAATAGGGAAGTATCCAAACAGTGATAACAAAATATTATCCATAGTAGTGGCAACAGTAACCAAAATGTAGAAAAGTATTGCTCTTGTGGCAGACAGAGGGGCTTCCATAAAAACATACATACAAGCACATAGATTAATCGCACGGTTGAGAAGTAGTGATGTCGCGAACATAAAATTTTCGGTTCGCGAACGCCGAACGCGAACTTCCGCAAATGTTTGCGAACCGGCGAACCAGGCGAACCGCCATAGACTTCAATGGGCAGGCGAATTTTAAAACACACAGGGACTCTTTCTGGCCACAATAGGGATGGAAAAGTTGTTTCAAGGGGACTAACACCTGGACTGTGGCATGCCGGAGGGGGATCCATGGCAAAACTCCCATGGAAAATTACACAGTTGATACAGAGTCTGGTTTTAATCCATAAAGGGCAGAAATCACCTAACATTCCTAAATCACAATCAATATGGATTGACACCTGACATATGACATATTGACACCTGGACATATGGATTGACACCTGTCCTCAGAGCCCCTGATGCACACGGACACAGAGCAGAATAGAGACTGGTCCCCCTACATAGGGTCACTTGGCAGATATGGATTGACACCTGTCCTAAGGATCCCTGATACACACTGACACAGAGCAGAATAGGGACTGTTCCCCCTACATCGGGTCACTTGGCAGATATGGATTGACACCTGTCCTAAGGTTCCCTGATACACACTGACACAGAGCAGAATAGAGACTGTTACCCCTACATAGGGTCACTTGGCAGATATGGGTTGTGACGGAACGCTGGCACTTCGACTGAGTACCTCCGCCAATCGATGCTCCTAGCGCTTGCACCTGTCCTCAGAGCCCCTGATGCACACGGACACAGAGCAGAATAGAGACTGGTCCCCCTACATAGGGTCACTTGGCAGATATGGATTGACACCTGTCCTAAGGATCCCTGATACACACTGACACAGAGCAGAATAGGGACTGTTCCCCCTACATCGGGTCACTTGGCAGATATGGATTGACACCTGTCCTAAGGTTCCCTGATACACACTGACACAGAGCAGAATAGAGACTGTTACCCCTACATAGGGTCACTTGGCAGATATGGATTGTGAACGCTGGCACTTCGACTGAGTACCTCCGCCAATCGATGCTCCTAGCTTGCCGAGGACTCCAAGCACTCCAACCGACACCATCAGCACTGCAGACCCCACTTCCAGCGATGCAACTGCGCCGGGGTCTCTGCTGTCTCCACCCACCCTGGACCCAAGGCCAGGATCCAGCTTCCAGTGGGTGAACCTCTCTTTCCCCAGAGAGCAGGAACAGGAACAAGCTCTTAGCAGAACTTAGTGATCATGCCCTGGGGAGTATAGTGATTATAGCAATCCCCAGAGTGTATTTCTCCAATCCCCCAAACATGAGCCAAGGCTTAATGCTGGAACAAGACTGATTTACTGGCACACAGAACTCACAATTTATGCAACACAAAACTCCTCCTCTGGGCCAGGCTAGATAATTGAGTTTCTACAATACACAAAGCTCAATTATCTGCTGGCCAGAAATAATACAGTTTCATAAAACACACAGGGACCCCAAAACATGCAATAACCCCATACAAAGTATATCCTTGGAACCGGGGGATCTGGGTGAACCACACAAATTCACCCAGATCCATTCAATACTTTGGAAAATACAGTTTAATGCAAATTCTGCAGAACATATACAGGCTAAATTAAAAACAATCACTGTATAATGTGTCCCTTGCTGTATAGTCCAAAACCACCGCACGATGTCTCTGTGCACCAAATACTGGCGAGATGGCACCGTGTTGAAAAGTCCAAACAGTGTCTGTGAGTTAAAATGGCCGCCATCCATTGTTCTCACCATGTGCTTCTGATACAGGAAATGGTGGCCACCCAGGAACTCCACAGTATGTCCCCAGATGGTTCTTAAAGGGCCAGCAGCAGCACAACACAAATCCATTATGCCCAAATCATGTCTTTAAAGGGCAATACATCCCAGGGGCCAACAGTCACAGGGCAAGAGGCGGGCAAGCAGTCCTCTCCAGGCACAAGTGGCGAAGGGCACTTCGTCACATGGATTGACACCTGTCCTCAAAGACCATGATACACACTGACACAGAGCAGAATAGTGAGTTAAAATGGCCGCCATCCATTGTTCTCACCATGTGCTTCTGATACAGGAAATGGTGGCCACCCAGTAACTCCACAGTATGTCCCCAGATGGTTCTTAAAGGGCAAGCAGCAGCACAACACAAATCCATTATACCCAAATCATGTCTTTAAAGGGCAATACATCCCAGGGGCCATAGTCACAGGGCAAGAGGCGGGCAAGCAGTCCTCTCCAGGCACAAGTGGCGAAGGGCACTTCGTCACATGGATTGACACCTGTCCTCAAAGGCCATGATACACACTGACACAGAGCAGAATAGGGACTGTTCCCCCGTACATCGGGTCACTTGGCAGATATGGATTGACACCTTGTTACAAACTGCTATTTGTAACGGGCCCTTTAAATGGCAAATTGCCCTGCTTCCCTGGGTAGTGGAGAAGCCTATTTGCCAGCCTCCTCCCGCATGACTATGGCCCCTGGGAGATTGTGAAAATGTATGCACTTTTATTTGGTGTGTATGGCCCTGTAAGACTGTCGGTGGGCATATTGGGGCTTATGGACTCTTTATGTGACTGGTGCTGGCCCTTTAAACACCTTTTTGGGACATCAGGAAGATTGGGACACTGCCCCTTTAAGGCCATGTCCCCAGACTTGTTGGGGACACTGCCCCTTTAAGACGGTGTCCCCTGTGTCCCCAGACCTGGTGCAAACCCTTTGTGCCTGCCTGGTTATTTCCCACTTGGTTCAGTAAATGGGGCTTACTGAACCAAGTACCACACAGGCAGACCACCCAGAAGTGGAAGTGTGCAGGCAATTTACCTCCCAGAAGCTGCGGTTAACCGCAGCTTAATTGACAATGCTGGGAGGTCTTTGTTCGTTTGCCGAACACGTGGCGGCGGCCATCTTTGATCATTCGACAAGGTCAGCGGTATGTGTAGCCAAATTCATGGAACTAAAATCGGCTACACATTTCCGCGAACACCGCTGAGCTCTACCTTCTCCCCTACTGGTTTTACAGCTGCAGAGACTAAGTCCCATTCGTGATGGGACTTAGTC